CCACCTGAAATCAAGCGAAATGTTAAAATGATATCAGTGTTTAAGGTTATATGTTTTTGACACGATTTATTTTCAAACGTGTACACAAGTTAGAATGTATGTATATAAACCTATACCTATTTCTAAACTTGTACATTTAGACAAAACATAAACTAACTAAATATGCCATTTTGAAGAATAAAATATGTCCCTTTCAAAACAAAACTAATATTAATTTTGAAATCCTTACACCCGAATTAGGTAAAATCAAATGCTTACACGAATGCCACAAAACATTTGTCCCCAGGGTAATCTGAATATCTAATTGCATAAAATTATGTATTAGATCACTAGATCCATAATTATGAACATTTTCAAGTAGAAGAAATGAAAGTAAATACGTGAGAGGAAACTTTCTTTAAACTTCAACTTAATTAATAATAACATCATAAGGCAACAATGAATATAATCATTTCTTTCTTGCCTTGCGTGTTTTACATGGAGATTCAAAATTAAATTGTGAAATTAATTACAAATTTTATACAAACATAAAAAGGTTCAGGTGATTTTGAATTTATAGTTTATATTCGATTTCATTAACTAATAAATATGAAGGAATTTTTTCCATCTTTTTATCACAAAAATGTTCTCTATGGAAATGTTTTTACAAACCTGTATCAAACCTGCCCAGATATTACAGTACGAGTTAGCATTTGCCGCAGAGAACGATAATGACTGATTCTTCGCAATACAACGCGTGAGCAGGGCGGAGCTTCTTAACTGTTTTGGTGTGATGTTTATGTTTACCTCCCAAGCAAGGAGGCTAATGTTCAACTATGTTTTGTGCAAATCTGAGAAACGGAACCTGTCCGCACAGTTCAGAATCGGTTTTTGTTTATTTTCAGAGCAAGGATGAAGCAGCGTTGTGAGGAAAATATTTACATTTTGGCTTTAAGATCGATTAAGAGTTTTCTTAGTTACGTCACAATGAGAGAATTTGACTAGTAGAGGATAATTGTTTAAATAATTAATCGGCACACTCCCTGATTGGGATGCAATTGTTTAGCATCGTAAATGAATTATCTTAATCTCAATTTATAACTTATGTACAAAATTGAAAGCAAGGTAATGGGAAGCAATAGTTAAAATTATATACACGCCGGAAAACATAGCTATTTACAAGTCAAAAAATTATTCAAAAGACTATAGTAAATACAAAAGGTAAATGAAATTGATGAGCCAACATGGGATCCTCCATGGCTGTCCTCTGTTTCATAGGAAGGATACTCCCCAATCAAATCTGAGTAATTTATGTCGATATACAGTATTTAAAAGATAATATTGATTGAGTTAGAATTAGATTATTAATTCTTATTGGTATATAAGCTTTTCTGGTGTCCGAGAGTAAAAGTAGCATTACCGGACTAAATTTGAAGTTAAAATTTAAGGCATCATTGTTCTGGGCTTCTATGCAAAAATTGAAGTTAGGCTATGCGATATGGATACTTATGTCTTCGATCTCAAGTTTTATCTTTTAATTGCTCATGACCCCAACAGCTCCTAGCATCCACCTGATTATCTTTTCTTCAGTTGTTGAGTGGTTTATTTGTAAGGGGTTGATAATGGAGATGCATAAGTTAAAATAGGATGAAAACATTTGAGACTTTTGTTGTTGATGCTGATCCTTGAGTGAGGATGAAAAATTGGTTTCAGCAACTAGAATAGAACTTGTGCTTTTTGAGCAGTTAATTCGATATGATCATTTCAAATGAATTTATTATTTATGTTAAGTCCTAAGCACTTTTCTTTCTTGTTGCTTTTTCTAATGACACTTGGACAAGTCAAGGTTGTCAGCTATTGCTCTTGCGAATTAAGTCAGGAAGGAGCTTCTTTCGTTCGACTAGAGTGAACCGCTAGGGTGAAAGTGCGACTTAGCTCAGATCTCCGGAAAGAAGGTATCACCACTCATTTGTAAGGCCACTTGCACAATTTAGACATAGATCTGAATTGAAAGGAAATTTTTTTCGGATCCCTTTACCCATGGTACTGTCGAATGACTGACCACAGGACTTTGAATTCCGCTGATTTTATGGAGACGCATGAACTTGTTGGGTCTTAGCGGTTTCGGAAATTTATTCTCGGTGCCTCCGAACCGAGGGCCGTTGGTCTAACCACTAAGCTACCACAGCCTACTTTGTTTCTTAACAGTAGTTACTAATTGGATGAAAAGAGATAAGCTTTGATTGATGGGTTTAGAAACTTTTTTTTATTTCAAACTATTAGCAAATTAGACTTATCAGGGTGTATTTCTGTTAGCCTTTTAAGGCACCAATTTTTAAAATCTTCAAATTCTCTGTTGCTGTAATATTATAGTTTTATTGATAATGGTAAATAGCGATATCATCCGCATAGAAAGCTATTATATTTTGCTTATTCTCGTATTTATGTGGGAAGTGTAATAATATAAAATAGGGAACCATGGATGCTCCCCTGTGGTGCACTTGCTTAAAAAACTCTGTAGTCAGATTATTCTGCGAAATTAAATCTGAATTTTGTGTTATTTAAATATTAATTAGTAATACAGAAATGCTACGAGTGACTAAAAATTAAAAGAAGTGGTGACTAGTAAAAATTTGAAATCTTTACTTTTCCTGGAATAATTTTTTCATTTAACTATTGAGAGTGAATGTAAAGGATGTTTTTGCTTTAAATATGAATATTTTGCAGTGCATGTAATGGTGATAGTTGCGATTGAATATAATTGAACAGATTAAATAAATAAAAGAAAGATTTGAGTTTCTACTACTTCTTACATTTTTAGTCTTTTGTGGCATCCCTGATAATATGTAAAGCATCAGTGGCTATTTCGAATTTTCTTAGTTTTGTAAATAGGCCTTTATACCAGATTCTATCAAATGCTTTTGCGATATCAACGTGTCGGTGGTTTCTTTATTGCATAAACCTTTAGCAATGAATTCGGTAATTCATATTTTGATTGATTGGTTGTGGAGAGATCTTTCCTGAATGCATACTATATCCAATCATCTATCTATTTTGATGATAATTCTCTACAGAATGGTTTTCTACGTCTAATTAAGGGTAAAAAAAAAGTAGAAAGGAAACAATATGAAAGATTTTTTATTTCAATATGAGGAATTTTTAGAATCACTTTTTTTTATCGTAAGCATTCTTTAATTTTTTGTAGTTTATAAATAATGGAACTTTAAATTTTTTGATAAAAATTGATGTCAAAAATTTTTTCTTGCAAAATTTAATCACGTAACATTATGTGTTTCTGTATACTTTTCGCATATTTTAATGTTTGAAGTAATAAATATGATTCAGAAAAGTATGGAATGTAAAGTTTAAATAGACCTTTCATATGATATCATTATATTTAGTAGAACGATTTCTCAGGCACTAGATTTTAACTCTAATAAGAAGATTTTTTACAAATATTTTCCGATGTGTTTTGGATGTTCCTTCTCTAAAAAAAAGAGATTCCATTGTGTTTTCACTTGCATAAAAAAGAATATCAATTTTTTTTTTTTTTAGTTTAATGAGCCGCAATAAAGAAGGAACGTTACCATATGCTACACTGAAGAAATCTACAGTGCAACTGATGGTCATGTTGTTCTGCTAGCAGTCATTCGTTTCAAAGAAAGTTCATCAAAATGTGTTGGTACCTCATTTTGTAAAGAAGGAAGTCCAAAATCAGATAGAGTTTTGTCTTCACTTTTTAGGCGCTGCTCAATGTCCTTTAAACATACTTGCTCCTCTGAATTCTCACACATTTGTGGATAAAATTTATCCCACAACTGTTTAGCATTAACATGAACGCATGTCAGCCGAAGATGTGCAAAAAATATTCGCAATTGCTTAGACATCATAAAGTGGCTAACTTCATTCAAAATTTATTCAACTTTATTGTCCTTTTCTCCGAAACCTAAACTATATTCGGCTTCACGAAAAGGGCGAAACTCCTGACCACTAACTGTACGAAGATCTTCAAATTAACTTGGTACAGAAACATGTTGGAGCAAAAATTTAAGGAGAAATCTCTCACTGTCCTTAGGCAAAGCTGAATATAAACGTACAATGAGTTTGTCACCGCCACGTTGCCGTTTTTTCCATTTATTTTTATTTTATATCCAAACATAATGCTTTCGAATCTCATTGTACTTGTACTGCCTGGCTTCAAGATCATCAGAATTAAGCTTAAAAAAGGCATGAGCTGACTAACGGAATTTTGTGAACGTAACGCTTCCGTTTCTTGACCTTCTTGAAAAGTGACACATTGCTGACCAGGTTAATGCACCGGAAGTCGAATAACTGAATGACTGTTTTCATGGAGAGGTAATTCCAACAGACGCCAAGCAGCTTCCATCGAACTCACATATCGAGTGTCAGCATAGACTTGGATATCATTAGTTATAGAGTTTTCCTGCTTGTTTGCAATCGTCACATGAATTCTATCATGCCATTTATTGACATACTTAAATATGTATTTATATGCCATGATGCTACCGCAATACTCCACATTTATATGGCAATCATATTTCGTAAGTAAGTATGGATTATAAGGCACTACCATAGAATTATCAACCGGAATAAGTCTACTATTAACTCTTTTGTTGCAGTAATGCATTTCTGCACGATTGTCTGTGCGTCTATAGAGAGAAAAACCATTCCCAGACATATCAGAGGCATTATTAAATGCATATGGAAACTTTTTATGACAAATGCCAGTTGAAGTATTATAACATGGAGTTACGGCAGTATGTGGTCCATGTAACGTGTGTTTCATGACTTTTCCATACCAGTTTGGAAAATTTTCTTTGACTATTTCAGCACAAATGAAACGATCAAGTGCTTCAGGTGTCAGTAATTTGTCTCTAGGATTTAATATGAACATGGGGTAAGCATGTGGTAGTGAGCATGGGGTAAACCCCTTTTCTGAAATTCAATATTATATGTATACCCTAATATCTTGCCGAAAACAGCTCCAGAAGAAATTTCTTTTATGAAAGTATCAAACCTAATAAAAAAGCACGAGCAGCCACGTGTGGAATGCCACTTGCAGCATAGTCTGCAGGTAGTGTTCTAAGGAAATCTCGAAGTTCAGGCCATTGCGGGTTGGAAGTAAAGGTAATAAACAAATCTGGCCTTCCTACTTCTCTTGATAAAGCCATGGCATCTTGGAAATGTTGCTGCATCGATCGAGGACTTCCTTCAAATGTTGATGGTAGTACCATTATCCTACCAAGGCGAACTGCGTCAGACATATTTCCGGCACTACGTTCAACCTGATTTTGAAGCCCCTGCACGCTTTCTCGACGAAACTTATCCTGATGTGTGCGAAAGTAATTTAATCGATTCCACTCATTTGTGATATATCCATGTATGACATATTGTTGGGTCAATCTACCAGCCATAGTTATAATGTTAAAACTATTGGTGACACGTAGTTGCCATCCAAAATATTGCACTGCCGTAATTCTTCGAGCAGACAAATTATTTTTCATATCTACGTAGTAGTCTGGATTCCCTAATAACAATGGGAAAACCATGGGTTCCACATGTTGAGATAATTTAAATAATTTTTGCCATCCAAAATATTGCACTGCCTTAATTCTTCGAGCAGACAAATTATTTTTCATATCTACGTAGTAGTCTGGATTCCCTAATGGAAATAACAATGGGAAAACCATGGGTTCCACATGTTGAGATAATTTAAATAATTTTTGGCATTCATAATTTTGCTTCGGATAAACCACAAAATCTATTGCAGATGGAATAATACCATCATTTCCCGTAACGATGACTGCTGCGATTTCAGACGAAGCGCTTGAAGCCGGCAAGTTATATCGACGACCGTCAGAAATAGCACTACGACGAAACATTAAATGAACATCTTCTTCCGGATGTTCTTCATATTTCTGGTAAAGTGTTTTATAGTTTTTAACATAGGGATTAGGGCTCATAACACTTTGAATTATTTGTAACACAGGCAAACTACACTTGTCAGATAACCTATCAGTATATGTTGCATCATTTTCGTGAATATAAATTTGTGCATATCTTGGTTTTTCAACATTTTTGGGTATAACGCCGGTAGCTGCAAGTGCATTTACTTCACCTTTTACTGTAGCACAACTTATACCATTAAAAAGAATCTCCTCAGCAGGTGCAAATGCTGCCATTGCAAATGCATTGTATGAGCGTATGTTCTGTCTGAAATGTTGTGTATCAGAAGAATGTCCTAATAATAATTCTCTTAGTGCTTCGGGGTACTGGGGGGAAACTAGTTGAATTTTACCATGATGGCAACAATTATGCTTGATTCTTCCATGCTCATTTTGAAAAACTAAAGCATCACAGTAATCACATTTTACATTCATGACACTAATTGAAAGCGTAGGGAAGTCGTCGCTGAGAGATTCACCTAACTATTGATTTTCAACCCTATTTGTAGCTACAACTCTAGCTTTGCGTCGACGACTGTTTATAAGTTCTCTATTTTTTACATAATTTCTACGACTTCTCTCACGTTGCCGTCTTCTCTGCTCGTCGCTGCGGCCTAGTTGATTTTGCCGAGTGTGAGAGTAGCTACTTTCTATTTAATAAAACAACAAAAAAAATCACAAACTACGTTCCGTTTCAAAAACAGAATTTGAAAAGTTAAAGACTTGTAAAAATAACCGAATGCATAAAAACAAACGGAGTATAAACATACAAGTGAAAACACTTCATGTTGGAAATTCAGTTGTAACAAATCAAACGGAATAAATTGGAAGCCTAAAAATTTGCTATTGGTCAACGCTAATGCGGCTATTTGCCGTTTCTGATTGGTTGAAGTCACGTGACTGCCAAGCATCAGACTTCTATCTTTTTATGTTATATAGAGACATTAGTGATTTTTACATATACAGGGCTGCCAAATACTACACGCCTTTCACAAAATATTTCATACACAATCAACAAAAGTTGGCAGTCTTGCACATATAGAAATTACCGGGTGAAAATAATTAAAATGATTGCTAGGTTAGACAATTTCTACTTGCACTGCTCATTTGTTTACAACTATTTTAATTCATTTTGGCAGATCACTGGACATTGCGTTTCTAAAGGCTTTGATCATTATTTTTATAAAGTGTGTCAGGGAAATTTTCCTAAACAAGAAATTCTCCCTAAAATAGACATAGCATTATTCTTATTATTTTTTCAAACATCTACAGATTTTTGAGAAAACTTTTAATTTTAATTCATGCCAATTTTCTTCATTTTCGATTTTTTTTCTCCATCACCTACGATCTAATTTATTTTATATATTTATTTTAAATTATTTATTTCGCAAATGCACTTAAGATTTTTACTAGCAAAATAAGCATTGAAAGGGTTGAATTTTTTTTACCTAATGGTCGGAAAGTTACAACAAGATATGAATGACCCCATATTATCCAAGTCATTGAGAATACTCGAAGACCATAGAATATGTGTAGAGTACATGGATTGTTGTCTTCCTTTAAAAGAATAATGAAATTTGTGTATAAGGAAAAGCATAATAATGCTTTAATTCCTGCACCTGGAAATTAAAATAAAGTTAAAGTGATATTTAATGGGCTGATGATATATGAATAATAATATGTCGAACTTCGATCCATTGAATCTGAATCTTTCGTTTACCCATATGCACAATCATATGTTAACGATCCCGTCAATTATGCATACATATAATGCTAATAATATCCGTTTAGTTCGCTTTTTAAAAATATCATATTACGCGACTGTCGTTCAAAAATTCGACCGTCATTTAAAACAAGAATTTTATAACCATCGCTGAACAGCCGACCCAATTTTGAGCTCACGACTACCAAAGCTCAACTCAGTATCATTGTAATTTTGAACCCAATCCAAAAGACAAGAGAACTCCTGGATATAACATTGGGGCAAATTAGACTTCGTGGAAGACTTTTTGATGGAACTAATAAACATTTTGCGTTACATGGGGAAGAAAGCGACAAAAACAATTCATGGTTAGGATTTGTTATAGTTTGGAAGAGACGCTTCAAGCTGCACATTAAATGAATTTGCATCAGTCGATGAAAAAATTGAATTTGTGATGTTGACTATTCAAGAAATGGTTGCAAAAGCAGAAGAAATGTAAAGTAAAGTTGGTGAATATGACGAAATAGAACCACAATAGGTGAAAACATTGTTGGAAATTCTTAAAGACTTTGAAACTATAAGGAACTTTCTGAAATCATTCAAAGTTGCAGAAATTGAACATCAGTAATCTATTACCAGTGGTCGGAGAAACTACATTATTTTTGTAGATTACTACAACTGCAGCTATTTTGTTACAAACGTAGTTAACTACAACTGCAACTACTTATTTTTTCAAAGTGGTGACTAGAAACAACTTTGAAATTTAGTAACTACTACTTTACGGAGACGTGCTTAGCCGGAGAACTTAATTTACACTTATATTCAAAATGGTTTTGAATAAGATGTTGGCTAATATTAAATATTAGGAATAATTAAGAAATATTTATTCATGTTATTCCAAAAATTCTTTTTGAATTTTTTTTTTCTAACCTTCAACTTTTTATGCCTTTTAAGACGGATATTTAATTTAAGAAATCAGAAATTATCGAATACTTGCAATTTTTTAATTGTTTAATTCTCTTTTTTCTTTAAGAAGTTAAAGGCATTGAAAATACGTTCCCCTTTTTCGAAATAACAAAAATGTTTCAAGAGTGTGCATTTGCATGTGAAAGTGAGACCAAAGTGATTAATTATCTATTTTTCGTAATGGCTAGTTCAAATATTAATTATATGTAATTTTAAATACGACGTATCTGTTAACGCTCAGCTGCAGAAACAGGGTCATTTCCATTGCATCCATTGACGGACTCGTTCAAATTTGTACTAATCTAATTCGAATAATTAGTTGAGTTAGAACCGTATTCTAAACTAAGGTTAAAAGTAATTGTCAGGAATCGCTACAAACTATTGTTTGTTTCTTTTTTTATATCGCTCTACTCACCACACTACTTTTTTAAAAAAAATAGCATACTACTCTACAAACTACGAAAAAATCAGCGACTACAGTAGTTTCACTACTTGTATTGTGTTTACGAACGCTGTTTATTACTAAGTCGAAAAAATATTATTTGCGATGAAAAGAAAAGTGTGTTTTAAAGCTAAGATTTCCAAATATTTTGAATAAATAAATGGATTTATTTCGCTTTATTTTACAATAAGTACATAATTAATTTTTTTAATTAAAACAATTTTTTTAATTCTTAATTTCCAATTCTATTGTTTTTATTACTTTTCATATGTTTTCAAGTCATTATTTGATATTTTATCTAAGCAAACATTTGTCATTTTCCCTCATCTATCATTAGCTATGGATAGTCCCATGAAAAATAATAAACCGAGG